AATTAAGTTAATTTCGAAAGTATTCATTTTGCCTCAAATTAAGGAAATCTTATGTTTTTTGTTTACAAATCGCATGGAAAATTTTAAAAGTTGATTATCATAACTACAAAAGATGGCATTCAGTAGTTTTATTAGCTTTAGTGAATTTTAGGTATGTAAATTATTATTTTTTAATTTATTTTAAATTAATAACAGTTACAGTTCGTTCTCTATATTCAAATGGAAAAACTTTGCACTACTTTCAAACTATATCCAGATTTTATTAAAGTTAAATGTCACTGACATTTATTTTTAAAAAATTTCCTTTTTTCGTTATCTCAACTTTATCTTTTGTTTTAAGTTTATTTTACGCATAGCCTTCGTTTCAAGAAAATTAAGGCTATTTTCCTTAATTTCATTTTAACCTCAAAACTGAATTTTGTATGAAAAAAATTACTTAATTTCGCTGAAACGAAGTTTCAATGAAATTAAGATTTTTGCGAAATTAAGATTTGTCTGAACATAGTATAATTGGTATTTCTATACATTTGTGGTCTGTATTTACTAATTGATATTTGCTATTAATTTCTTATACATAATTTTATGTAATTTTCTTAACAGGATATTTCATAAGTTTATTAAAAAAAAAGTAAAATCATTTCAGCTTATCAGCATATAAAGACTCGACTTATAAAAAACAAATCCGAAACCAATTTATGTTGCACAATACATCAACCATACAGAGTAAAGGAAAAAATCCGTCTTTCATGTCCTACAAAAATGGACTTGGCCTCACTAATTCGAACCGTAAACACTCACACACACATTCGTTTAGATTTGTTTTCAATTTTACATACATGAGAAAATCGAATTGTAACATTTTGGATAACAAATGAAATTCCTTTGAAGTGCTTGATTGAAGATTGATTGATCGAGATTGTGCGATTTGACGTTCAAATATTGTTTTGTCGTTTCTGATATTTCGTTGTGTCCCTCATTCCTGCTGCCAACTTGAGTGTGAGTGTGAGTGAGAGTGCAAGTGTGAGTGCCATTGCAATTGCCTTTGTAGTCATTCCTACTCGTTGTCATTGCGTTGCGGTTGTTGTTGGTATTATGTTGTACTGTACTATGCTGTACTGTGCTGTGCTGTGCTGCTCTGTTGTCATTACGTTGCTGTGGTATATGTGTGTGCTGGTTAGTACTGTTAACAGGCACGTAAGACAAGTAATTGACTTAGGAATTTTCGTTACTTCGACTAAGTCGGCTTAAAAAACTGAGTTTTCTGTGTTAGGTCAGAAGGCAAATTGACAATTAAAGTTGTTGCCATTGACATTTTTATGCTGAACCTGCTGCACTTTCCTCTCGCTACTTCACAGTGCAAGCAAATAGACAAAATTTAGCAAAATTTTAGCCAAAAAAAAATGTACAAAAATATTTATTGTGAAATGAACTTTTTAATAACTTTTTAAATTATGTTTTAAACAAAAAATTTTAACTACTGATTTTGACTGCAACTTTATTAAAAATTATAAAAAATTAAAAACAAAATGTTTTATACACTTTTTACACAATTTATTATTATTTGTTTTTGTGTGCTTCGTAGATATTCCGTAAAAAATCTGTGCATGGGAGTATATGTACATGGGACTATCTGTACATGGGAGTATCTGTACGTACGTATCTATGATTAATAAAATTGCATTAAACTGCAAACAAAATTTTGAAAAAAAACGGAAGTTGAAAAAATATGTTTTAACTTTATTTTCGAAATTTTTAGTGAATTTTTGGTGCCCTATTTTGTTTTTATTTTTTTGAAGTTTAACTGCACTAAAGGCCAATTATTTAATTTTTATTTTAGAAAAGTTTACAAAAATATGTTTACTTTTGGTAAATAAATGGTTTTAAGTAATTCCATTCGAAGCTTTGCCGCAATTCAACTTTACAAACACTAACTGCATGCAGCTAACAGTGTTAGTAAGCGTACTAAAATTATACAACAAAATTAGCGCTTAATGAATGTTGAAATATTAAATTTCTGTAGGATTTTATATTAAAATATTACGAGGTTAAACGGCTAAAAAAAAATTTAATATGCACAGTTTAGAGAGAAAAACGCTATGAATATTCTCATACATAACTTTTGTATAGTTAAAAATTTTAGAATTTGGATAGTGTTTCAATTTCATAGTAGAAAACAAAATTAATTTAATGATATTGTAAGTTTTTGGCACTTATAACATTTTTAAAACTAATCATATTATTTATAAATAACTTCTACTGAACAACTACAAATCAAAATTAAAAAAAAAAGAATAGCATTTAGTAAAACAATTCATTTACTATTATATGCCAGAGAACATTCCACTGATTTTGCCGGCTGGCGAAGAATACTTGGGACGGCATACATCTGGATAAAATTAGTAATTAAAGAAGTAGTTATAGATGTACTCGTTTGAGACGCGTTCGCTTTTTAAACAATAAGTATCTTTTAAATCACTTTCTTATATTATCTCTACATAAAATCACATCTCCACAAAATCTCTAATTAGTTACATTAAAGAATTAATAAGATTTTTAATAAGATTTTGATACTTCTAAATATAATATAAAATAATTTTAAAACCCTGACTAAATCCATTGGAATATGTTGGAAGTATTGAAAAGAATATTGGTTCTCACAGGCCATCGAACTGTAGGTGATATTAGTCTAAACTCATCTATATTGACTGCTGTACTGGAGCACGAAATACTGTTATATCTGTTGTGTCACTATTCAAATTTATATGCCATAACCTTGGCTTAAACCTATGAGCAGCGCATTGTTGAACTTACTTAATAATATATAGCATAGCAATTGAGCAAATATTGACAGTCATTAATGTAACCGTCTTGCTTTAAACTTGCTTGCTTGCTTAAAGGGATTGTTAAGTTTTTTGAACCTTTCTGCAATCAAATTATCTTCTGCATATATATTATTATTTAAAAATAATATAAAAGACATTGTAAAAAAACATTTTATATCTACTTCCCTAAAATTGCATTTAGATTACAATAATATTAATAAATACTATAACCTTAAATAGACCTTATTGATGAAATTAATTCAGAATCTTTACATAAGAATTAACTCTCAATATTTTGATTAAGTACTAAACAAAGGCTTTTAATCATAAATTAAAAGTGTTCAAAAACAAATAAATTAAATTTTGTGCTAAACCTCAAATAAAGACAGAGAATGTCTAGAGAATTACCCGATGTATTTTAACAACCGATAATACGAAACTATAAATTATTCAATTTAACTGAAAGCACTGTCGTCTGGAAAATTTGTTGAAAAATTTTATAATGTAATTAATATTAATGGCAACCAGGGGAAAAACTTCAAAAAGAATTTATATAAATTTACTTGCTTAACGTAAAATACTCAACATTAAACAAACCGTCGAAGAGGCGAAAAACACTAAGATGCAGGCTTATAATGTAATAATTTATCTGCTGCTGACTTTAAAACTTTAAAAGCTTTGCTTTCATATGCTTTCATTTAGGAAATGTTAGATTTTTATCAAAATTTGCCTCGTGATTATCATCAGCAAAATAAAGTATATGTAATATATTGCCATACGCACGCATGCTAAGCTTTTCAATTTTAGTGAATGTCATTGTTGTACTAAATATGCCCAGGAGGCTGGTCAAACTGTGCTAGTTCTCCAGCATATCCTTTTAGTTTTTCTTCAACACTTTCACATAAGCTCATAGATACTATATATTGTAGTTATGGATGCTCGTACGCGTAAGTACGCATATGTTTGTTTTACACTTGAGTATTAGTTTTGTGTTTTTGTGTTGTATATGTGGTAAATGTGTAAGTGTAGGTGTGCTTTAGTTGAAATGGGTGTGTTGGTCTATATGATAACGCCCCTGCTGTGAGAAAGCCATACAATAGCAGCAATAAAATATGTGTAATAAGCAAAGAAGTGTCCTTGCTTGAATACACTTTGGAATACTCCTTTTTTATGCTTCCTTAAGGACATGTATCTGGTTTTCCTTTTATCTAGAAAAATTTTTTACTGCCTGCTACTTTAGCAAAACCATCGATTTAATTAATTTGCTCATAAATTATGGAGCTATTGTTTTCGGCACATTAAATAAATGGAAAATTTTTTTTCTCCTATTTTTTATTTAACCACTTGTAGGACTTCAGGTTTGAGGTAAACAGTTTTTTTTACTTTTTGAAGCACTTAGGTTTTTGGAAGAAATAGTTTGATAAATTAACATAAGTTTTATGTGATTGCCTTTTACGAGGTAGGTAAAATGCTTTGAAAATCTTAAGGACAATTTTCTATCTCTAATAAAATCTCTTTTTAATTCGACTGTCACTTCTTTCCATATCTTCATGTGCTTAAAGTGATGAAAAGTTTTTTTTAAGAAAAATTAAGAGAAGTATTTCTGAAAACTATGATTATTGGATTCCCTGAAGATGAAATTGCTGATCAATACAATAATTAAATGCTCATTTTTATGATTTATGGATATAACTGACAAAGATCAGATTTTGCTCTAAATCTAACATTGCAAAATAAGACTGCTCAGATTAAGAATAAAATAAGAAATGATAAATAAAGTCATGCTAGAAGTCATATTAGTGTTCAAAATTTTACAGCTATCTGCAGAACGTCTATCTTCAGCTACGTTATACTATTCTATTCTTTCACATTTTTATATAAAAGTTTTAAGTATTTGTGGTGATTCTGTAGATATGAGTCAATATTATGTTGAGTTTAATTTTAATTGCATTTTTTTTCAGTTATACATTGTTAATAGTTATTATAACATATTCAAATATTTCTAGATTTATTTATTAAATTTTATTGTAATTAATTTACTAAGGACATTCATACTTTCATGTTCATAATATACAATATTTGCTTTGTTTTTTATAAATTGACTTTTAAAAAGGTATATCGACCTTGGCTGTGTTCAATATCTTACTATTATAATAAAATTTAAAGACTTGTACTCACCTCCACGCACTTCACAAGTTAACACAATATTATCGCCTTCAACTAATGGACCTACTGCACCAGCGACATCACGCCCGGAAGCATCATAAACAAGTATTTGATGTGGAGGAACTTAAATTTTAGAAGAAAAATTTACAAATTATTTAATTAAATGTATTTTGTTTAAATATATAAATAAAAAGCTTTTCTGTTATAACTTTTATTAATTATATCTACAACATATGTATTTAATGCATAACTGAAATTTTTTTATATATATGAATATAAATATAAGGACAGGAAGTTCAGTTTGTAGATGTATGTTCTATATAATAGGATTTAATTTTTTTTAAGTATGCTTCTTTATATAAAAAAACACATATCTGACAATAAGGATTCTAACCATTCCTATCGTTAGTATATGACAAAGGTACTTACCAATAACCGTTAAATTGATTCTATGATTTCTTGTTGGAGAGTTTTGGAAGTCAACTCGGCATCTGTAAACCTGAAAAAAGAAAATTCAAAACACATTTTTATATATGATTTCAATATTTCTGAACTTTTTGATAAAGTGTGTGTAAAAGCAAACAAAATTAATTTTATTGGAAAAAAATAAACCAAGAATACCTATCAGCTTACGATAAGTATTATATTTTATCATTTCTATATTTTTTAAATTTAATTTGATGAGAAAAAAGTAAGAAAATATATTATACGTGGAAAAAAAAAATTAGAAATATGAGCCTATGATAAGTATTTTATTATTTACTTATATATTTTCAAATTAAATTTGATATAAAATAAGTAAAAAACTAAATGTACGTGGTATAAAAAAAAATAAAATTAGAAATATAAGCTTATGATAAGTATTATAAGTAATACAATATAGAATACAACACAATTTTATGCGTGTTCTTTAATGTACTTACACCTTCGTCATCCAATTGTATATTGTCGACAGTTAGTTTTGCAGGTTCCTTACTCGTAATGAAAGAAGCGCGCGGTCCAAATGAATTGGTGTCTGACCAATATAAAGCTTTCTCAAACGCTCTCCCCCTGACATCAAAGCTTAAAAATTAGAAAAAAATGAAACTTTAATTCACAGTTGAAAAGATTAAAATTGACTAAGAAAATTATTGTTATAAGTTGAATAATTTGAATTTCAAAGGAATATACTTAATTCAATGCTCAGGAAAAAAGTTTCTTAGGTTGACGGAGAAGTTCAAGTTTAAGGACATACTTATTACACTCGACTATAAGTACGACTCGTTACATTTAGAGTGCCATTGTATCGACTGCGATTGTTTATGACAGAATCTGACAGTTCACTCAGCATTCATGTTACACTTCGGCGCGTTCAGTCTGCCGGTTAGTCAGAATCTGTTTACTCAATGAAAAACAGCACATCCTCATCAGAATATAATAAAAATATCTATAGTATTTGAAGTGTGTGAAAAACACTTGATGTGTCTGGGTGGCGCATTAAACAATCACAATGTGAAATGTTAATTATCACTGCATATGTATATGGTACAGCATTTAAAAATCAAGTATTTTTTCACTTGTAATTAACGTTCAAACTATGAATCAAAATTCACTGCTATATATTTACTCTTACTCCACTATATATGAGCGCCATCCTCCTAACACTCATATCCTTATTAACAACAAAAAGTTGGTGTGAATATGTGAAAACTGATAAAAGGATTTACATATTAAAAAGTTATGTGCGTGTAGGTGCATCAGAAGGTCTTCGCTTGAGCCTCATGCATTTAGTCATTGCAGAAAAGCTATTTTCATTCCGCAGCAAAGTTTGCCGCTAATGTCCAGTGCATTGCTGAGAATGGCGAAATAAAATTATGTGGCAACTTTGCTGAGCTGGTGGGTAAGTGGTTGCCATTTTTCAATTTAATACGACAGTTGAAATATACATGCATTTTATTGTTACTAAAATAAATGTTGGAAATCCGTACTTTATAGTTTTGCTTGCCTGTCATCGGAGAGCAAAAATAATAAAAATGAACGAATAAAATTGTTAATATGACAAATTTGCTTGTTGTATTTAAGCAGAAAAACTATATTTAAAAAATATTCATATTTATCTTTACTGGTATATTTTTTACAATTTATGTAATTTAATGACTAGCAAAAATATCAATAACTTTTTAAAATAAATATTCGAATTTATTTTTTATTTATATTTATTTATTTTTTTATGAATAAGCACTCATGAACTGAAATTTGTGTAATTGATCACTCTATGTAATATAATTTTTCATGTTATCAAAAAAACTTGAAAAATAATTATTATTAATCAAATATATATAAAATTGTATTCATTTAAAATATTCGATATACGTACATATTAATATAGTTAAATTATAAATACTTTAAGTATTTCATTCAAAAGTTGTGCTTAATAATAAAACAATTTTTAAATATTAATATGATTTGAATTAGCCGAGGAAGCACTATGTTATAAATTAAATCAAAATCTGTTCTTAATGCAGTGCATAATAATATATGGATTTACATAGTATATGCTTTAGTAACGTCAATAATGTTCGGATATGAATCCCTGGTCTAAGCGAAGGGCAAAATTGCATGGGTGTATATTTGGATTCTGTATTAATAAAGAGCGGTATTCTAATTAGTTCAATTCTGAAAGATGCCACTAGATTTACAATCAAATAATAAAAATATGTCAGGAAAATCGTGGAACAATTTGTCTTTTTAAATTATATATGTCATCAGACATAGAAAGCATCAGCTTTCGTACAAAACCCCAATGGCAGTTATGATGCTGTGAGTCCTAATACGATATCCCTATTAAATAGATTAGATACCTTAATATTTGCTGTGACAACATTTTGTATTAACTTAATTACTTATAAGTACAATTTTTATGCTCTATGACCAAAAATATTATACTCACAATTTATTCATAACTTGAATCTATTATTAAGGGGATTCTTGGCTGAACATACCGTTGTTTCGAATACTGGCAGAGTATCCACCATTAGTGAGTCATGTTTGGAAACATCTATATCATATTATATAGATATTTTATAGACATATGTTATTATAATTTTGAATTGAACCCATCGTAAACATTGCGTTATTTTTGTTGCTTAGTCGGGCTGTACTTTGCTTATAACTAACGCATAAACGCTTTGCTTAGAACGCATAAATTGCAGCTATATAAATTAACTTTGTTATTGTTGCTTATTTTAACTTCGATACTATTTAATAAAAAATTTCTATACATTTCCACTAGACCGTTTTTTGATTCAGTAGTTTTTATTATTCAATAGTTTTATCTATCCAAGTCAATAATTCTTTGGTTTTGATTTATTTAATATCACATACTTATTTATGTACGATAATAACTTTTAAAAAATGTTGAAAAAATATAAGAAATTAATTTACCAAAATTATTTGTGGTAAATAAAAACATCGTTTATAATAAAAACTCGAAGGATATTTGAGTGATTGCTGTGACGTCCTGCCACAAAAGTGAAATATTTCGTTAGGTAGGAAAGAGCTCCATTGAAAAATATGAACTATTTCCAATACTTTCATTTATTATTATTTTTAATATAGTGGGTATATTTTCTCATTTGCATTTAACCCATTTTATGTTGTTTGTTAACCAATTTCGGTTTGACTCTGATTGGCATAGTTTTGCAAATGATTGCGTTGTGTACTTGATGGGTGACGCTTTTGCATTCTGCGCGCATTTCAGCAAATTTCCGAGAACGGGGAAAATCAAAATAGCTGCATCCTTTGTTGCTGTTGCTTCTGTTGACGTTGTTGTTGTTCTTGTTGTTGTCGTTATTTATATTGAATGTTGTTGATATAAAAGTAGTTTGGAGTTTTATTTGATTTTTTGGCATTTGCGACAAGTGGTTTTTTAATTAAAATTTATGCAATAAAATTGCTGACAATAATTTGCAAAATAAAAGAGAAAAAAAAAAAGAAAATAAATAATGAAAAGTTTACTTTAAAAATTTTTAAAATAGAAATAGTATAATTGAAATGTGTTTAAATGAATGAAATACCATAAAAAGTATTTTATACAGATGCAAAATTATTTTTTTGTCAAGTTTTTGCTTAATTTTAAACCTTTTCGAGGCAAATGAATTTAAATTTGATAAAGGCGCCACATGCCAATGAAATTAATTTTGATTTACATATTCGCATAAAATCGCATAAAATTCGCATATCAAAATACCATAAATTGCCTTTGGTAAAGGCTCAGCTCAAATATCTAAATTGCTACATTTTTGCTTTGATTATGCAAACTGTAATTATATCTTATCAAATTGGTAATAAATTTTCATGGCATTCCTTTTCTCTTTTTTTTGTTTTTTTTTGATTTGTGTTTTTAAGCGTTTATTATGTGATATATTCAATATTATGAGCGCGATAAATTTCAGTCTTGATTTTTTATGGCAAGAATTTACTCATTTTTGCTTCAAAAATTGCTTCAACAATTGTTTCCGCCATCGTAAATGTTATCATTGAGGCAATAATATTGTTTTTATTGTTTGCATTGTTGTTGTATTGTGTCGGTTGTTGTTTCTAATGTTGCTGCTGTTGCTGATATTGCTGATATTATTGTTGTTGTAGCTGTAGCTGTTGCTATTGCTCAGTAAAATTCAAGTATCTATTTCAAATGACAATTCATGACAATTAAATATTCATTTTAAGCATTTTGATGAGCATTGAATGAAATTTAATTTGCTCACTGGCACAGTGGTAAGAATTTTATTATATATTTAGAGTATTAGTAAAAGTTCGTAAAAGGATATAATACATAATGTTTACTTATATTTTATATGAAATAATCATAACTCGCGAAATAATAAAAATGAAGTAAAATTATTGAATTTTTAGAGCAACAAATGGTGTCGGATGTGAGAAGTGAAATACATCAGCTATGTAAGTCATTAGAAATCTTCTGTCGTAGTTGGATGGAATGTATAATTGATATGTTGTATAAAAATTTTTGCATGATTTATTTGGGATACATTTTTAATACTTATTATTTTGATCATCTTTATTTATGAAAAATATGTTTGTTTCACTTATTTTAACTCAATTTTTCGTTTGATTATACACAGACTAATGTTTCCTTTTCTTCTCTTTTGCACAATACATTATAATATACTAATGTTAATAATTTCTTAGTTTCTTACAGAAATTTCTAGAAAACGTTACAATATGCTATATATTCCAACCATTCCAAAAGAAAATAGAAATATTTACACGAAATAATACTTCAAAAAGTGATTTTTGCTTTGACATTCGTTAAAATACTATTGAACTTGTTTTAATGAAAGAAGTACATAAAACATATCATAATATAAGAAAAAAATTACATACAACACAAACTTTAAAGCTCTATTTTATTATGGCCATAAGATCTGGAATTTAACTACCAGCAGTGCCCAATTATCATAAGACTTCAGCAACTGCAAAATTAAGACACGAAAATTTTAGTGAATTTTTGATCTTTCATGTTGATCTCCAGAAAACAACAAACAAATTTCTGATTACAATCCCTGAGGTAGTAGAAGATCCGTGTATGTAAGGGTCCCACACACCGAATTGGAGCCATCATGTTTTATCAAGAAAATTGAGATACGAATATTTTAGTGAATTTTTGATATTTTACGTTGATCTGCAGAAAACAACCAAAAAATTTCTGATTATAATACCTAAGGTAGTAAAAGATCCAGATGTCTGCCGGTAACATATGATAGAAACACATAAAGGCGAAAAAAGGAGTTATTTTCAGAGTTAAATCAAGATTAATTTACTTTTGTTCCCTAAAGGTAATTTAAGGTTCAAATATGTACAATATAAGTATTAACTAATAAATGTTACTGCACCAATGCATTCTATATTGAATATACAAGTAATTCATTTATGAATTTAAAAGAACTACAACTTTGTTTTAACTTATCAGCGCTACTTTATATTTCAAGTCAAGTAAATTCTTATCTTAATTAAATTAAAATTTAATTTAATTTAATTTTTGGAAAAAAAAATTTTTTTTTAAA